CCCCAAAACCCCAAAACCCCAAAACCCCATGAAATCAATAACACAAAACAACTTTTGCTTTTATTAGTGAATTATTTATTTTAGACTCAAATTAGATTTAACTTAATTAAAATATCATTATTTTTAATTCTTCACTTTATAACTTTCTACCAAATATTCTAGAATCGAATTAAAATTATCAATCCATTACTAGTAATAAATTGGATGATCCACTTGATAAACTAACTCTTCTTAATCTTTTCCAGCCAACCTAAAAATTCCATCTCCTTTCTTTGGATTTACCTGAACATTTACCAAGAGCTTTGAAGATTTTATATCATGGATATGTTTCGGCTTGTCAAATGATTCGGGCTCATACTCAAGCAAACCGAAATTAGTCAAAATCAAGTATCTTTTATTCCACTTTTATTAGGAGCTTAATGACAATCTACTTGTCCAAGATTTGTCTTTTTTCTATACAAAACCACTCATATATGTAACGATTGATAGCTTATTGTATTTACTGATATTTTCAATAGGTCTTAGTGATGCAAAATTAAAGCTAGATGGAATCTCTTCACCCTCCAACTAAATCTAGAAAGAGTCAGTTTATGTTATTAAAAAAGTAAAGTTTAGATTCAGCCTCATCTTTTTTACAAAATCAGTTAGCAATTGCTCATTATGGTGTGATAAGCATTTTTCCAAAATTAAATGAGACTAACCCATAAGGCTTATATTGCTAAACTTAAAGGCATAAACTGGAATATCTTTGAGCTAAGGTGTTATAAACTAATCAATAAGCGATAGGTTAATTGGGTCATAGATTAGCTTTTGATTAATCATTGAAATCAGGTAAATGAATTAAGATGTGATTATAGCCACACATTCTTATCTTTTATCCATTGCATAAACATTCATCATTTCAGAAAATAGTTGAGTTTCATCATCATAGATATCAATTTCAAATCCCTCATACTGGGCAATAAATTAACCTATCACAGTCCTATGTAAATTATCTTCATCTAAAACTAATAGGTTATCGAAATTCGCCTCGTTTTCAGCCTCGAGTCTCATAGATCTTTTTCTATGTAATGGATCAAACTTATTTTTTTCTAGGCTATATTGATCAGCAATCTTAGTTCTAAGACTTAATTTATTTTGGGGTTTCGGGTTCCCAATTATATCTACAACAAATTCATTTTCTGATGCTACTAAGTCATCTAGAATTGAATGTTATGTTTAAGTTTTGAGCAAGGGGTTAAGCTAGATTCCAAAAGCTGCTGCATTAGCATCAGTAATTGAAAACATTTCTCTTTTATTGGGGCTGAATCCTATTTATTCTACTCTTTAAAGTGTTGTGTTTAATGATTGCTTAAATCCAAATTCAGTACCATTGTCAGAATTTTCATCATTCGTTCTATTAATCACAAAATAATTTTCTGATTAAGTATCATCTTGATTTTGCTAATTAAAAAATTTTCCGGTATGTCTTTTTGAATATCTATTGCTGAAACCCCCAACATTAATTGGGTTTTAGGCAGTTTGCTGCATCAATATAGAGTTATTATAATTATTTAAGACATTATTGGCATTTAAGTTTTTCTAGAATGATTAAAGTAAAAATTTACTGCTGAGTGCAAAGAGTAGCTTCTATTGTTTGTTGTGCTTTATCTTTGCTTAGTAATAAAATTTTGAAAATCTAATTAATATTACAAAGCTTTCGAATTCGCATCATCAATAATTTTATCAGCTTCATTTATAGATATCTGCAAAAATAATTCAAGAGGAAGTTATTTACCTTAAAATTTTTGCATAAATCAGCAGATTTATTAATAATTTCAATTATGTTTTATATTAGCTGAACCTTGTCATTACTCTAATCTTTCAATAATGCTTTAATTCTGTTTTTAACGTCGTTGACTTCAATTAATTTCTAAAATTCAAAGATATCCTAAAGAATCTACATGTTCCTATTCTTATACTAGTTGTAATCACTTTCTTCCTCTTCCAATCATAATATATCTATCATCAATTTGTCTTTTTCATTCAAAGTCTGGAACTAAGAATCAAACTCTTGAATGAGAGAAGTGTCATCCTCAAATATGACATTTTTTTATTAAGCTTGCTTAAAATTACTTAAATGCTTGCCAGTTTTAATATCTTGCTGTTCTTCCTCCATTTACTATTTATTTAATTAACAGATTCTTACTAAATTTTAAGTTATAATTTTATACTTATCAGAAATTGTTTTATACTATCGGGGTTTTGGGGTTTTGGGGTTTTGGGGTTTTGGGG